AAGCTGCGCGCTGCGCCCGTCCCCGTCCCCTCTCAGGGCACTGGATCCACACCAGTTTCTGTTTTGTTTCTGACGCTGCTCTCTTGTGATGTTTATCCCCCAGGCGGCAATATTTGTTTCTAAGTGACAGGCATTTTGGTTTATAAAGTTATGAGTTAATTTCTTTATTCTGGAGGGCATTAAGTGGGCTAGTCCCTTAGTTTACAACAAGCAAGTGCCTCGCTGCTCGTGTTCCCCAATGGAGTATAATGGCCACTCATCAGGAGTAATGATCATTATTTCAGGAACACACAACTAACCTGGCCAGGAGCTGCTTGTGGACATGGGATACTGTGCCACAACTGGAGGATTATTAATAGCGGATAATAATATTATTATCTCCTTTATGCTGCAATGTTAGGGCTATCATGACATTAAAAGCATACCATTTTTCTTTGAAATATATGCAAGCTCTTCATTCTGCATTTTGATTGTAAGAAAGAAAGGTCTGTTCCATTCCCTAAAATTTCTCATGCTGCCCTCTAAAAGGCTGAGGCAAGTCTGAGTAAAGTTTGTTCAAGATGTACGTAGGTGTATATTACTTTTTGAAGGAAAAGAACTCTATTCCATTTGCATTTTGCTGTTTTTTTCCCTTCTTATGTCTTTAACATGAAAATGAGTGTTCTATGGAAAATGTACATTCATCTAGGAGACCTGATGAGATTTGTGAGGATTTTCATCTAGTGGAAAGAGGTAGGCCATGAAGTGGTCAAAAGAAGCATAAAGTCAAACCTTCATGTAAGAGGTAGAACGCATTTTTTTGGAGGCTGGGTAATGAAATTCTAGTTTAATTTCAAGAGATGTGTTAAATTCTTGGTGGCTTGAAGACTTTAAAACAGGACCAGACCTCTTTCTCAAATGCGTGTTATAACTTAAGCCAAGTCACTGTCATTTCAGCTCTTAATTTTCTTTGGAGACCTATAGAAGGACACTGATCTGCTTAACCAGAGGCCAACGACTTGGTGGAACGATGGACTGTAACACTGAACGTAGCAGAGCTTTGGCCTTTTCTGTGGTTTTAGCTCTTTACTTCTCAGCCCCAGTTTCAGCAGTGAGCTGGCTGCTGCATTTCACTGCCCCAGCCACTGCCCCACTGCTTCAGTTCCCCTTCTAAAGAGCCTTTTGGCCTTGGGGGTCCTTTGCCAAAGGAGCGGGGCGGTGGGAAGCTTTCAAGTAGTGGCCAAGCAGTGCTCTGGTTTTGCCTTCTTGCCACCATCTCCTGTTTTCTTGGAGAGGAAGATCACCCTGCAAGTGGTCTGCAAGGAGCTGAGGCAGTTTTCCAGTTATCTAAGCATGTCCTTTTCAGAGCAAATCCTGTGCCTGGGATCATTCGCTTCAAAACGCGTTATCCAAAGTCCAATTTTACCTTGAAGGATGATTGCATGCTTTGTTTGGGAGACAGTCTTTCACAGCAAAGCCCTCCTATTTACAAATAAAAACATTTCATGCCGCTTCATGGCATGACTAAAAAAGTTAAATTATATTTTTCTTCCTCATGGTTGGTGACAAGAGCAATGGTACTTTAATCAGTTTTCATAATTTTCAGCTTGTGTCTAGAGAGGCAGGAATAAAAAGCATTAAAAGCATGTTTTTTCCACTGCAGTTTTCCACAATGTGTTTTGTGCAAAAGAATCACTCCATATCACCAAAGGCATTATTGCCTGATCAGGCGTCGGGGAGTGACAAGCCCCGTGAGAGGCTGCATTAGTTCACAAGCTCCATTTGTGTCTAGGCTTCAAAGTCCATATAATCTCATTTCTCCACTCTCCTCCTTGTTTGTTTTCTCTCCTTGGCTTGGATTAATGCTGTCATAACTATATCTCATTCCTGTAGGAGCTGTTAGACCTTGCATCTGCTTAAGCGTGATCTCTGTTTTCATGAATATTCTGCTCATGAGCTATTACCATGTTAGATTGCTCAGCTGCCAGATGCATTGCAGTGTTTCTGTGCTGGTCGATTATAGACTCGAGACCTGGAGCATTCTGGCAAAATAAAGAAATCATTCTACAGAACTACTTAAGCTAAAATGCTACTATATATATATATATATATATATATACACACAGGTGTGTGTGTCTGTGTGTGTGTGTATACATGCATATATTAGTGTTGCATGTTTTAGGGCAAAATCTTGTTGTGATATATTTCAAGGTTGTGAAATATCCTTCTGCTTTTAATTCATAAGGAAAAGCACTTGACTATCAGTTTTGAGCTTATCCATCTCAAGTCCTATTTATTTAAATGGCAGATGTAATAAAAGTTCCATCTGGCTTCCATAGGAAGCTTGTAGAAGTTCTTGAAAATTGATTTTTTTTTTCTTTCTTTTTCAGGACACACAAAATTGCGGCCATTATTAGAACTTCTTCCTCCTACAGCATAGTTGCCAGATGGCAAGTTTGTTGAAGCTGTTTTTAACTTACTAGAGTTTAAAGGACTGAATGCAGCTCAGAGAAGTGGGGGCTACCTTTTTGCTTGAAAGGCCTCCTTCAAAATCATCCTCCGTAGGTTTATACACACAGTGCAGTTGTGACCTGGGCAGTCATACCCCTCTCACAGTGCTTGGAATGGGAATAGAGAGGGACCACTTGACAAAATCCCAGTAATTTCAAGATCAGCAGCACTGAGTGAGTCTTGTTACAGTAAGAAGGCAAAATCAAATTTATAATTTTCTCATCATTTCCTTCATTTTATGAAGGAATCTTCCTCTCTTTACAAAACACAAAGCCTTGTTCTCCACCTCTGTTCTCTATGGGCAAATTGGATTTTATGTTGCAGGATTTTTTTCCCTGACACAGTCTGTGACAGTTCTGGGATGTTTTTGAGAATGGAGAAGATGGATCCTGTGAAGCCCTGCCACAGAACAGCCAAGAGTTCTGCACCATATCTACTAGTTTTCCCTTAGTGCTGAGCCATCCACATGCTGATCTGTGCTGAAATGTAGCTGCAGAGTTAAGGCACTTAAGTAGCAGTGCCTGTAATGATTATTCATGTGCTTAAAGTTTAATCTGGTGGTGTATCCCTTAGTGTCGGTACGGACCAAAAGGAGTAGATTGGGAGAGCAAAGCAAGCAGCGCCGCGGAGCTGACAGCTGCCCTGCCAGCGTTTCAGGGCTTTTTGCTTCGGACCAGCTGCTGGGACTGCTTGTGTGCACTTTAAAAAGGCGTTCGGAAAGTACTTCCATAGAAGGTGGTTGTTGGCTTCTCTTTGGGTTAATTACTTTGGAGAAAATTTGTCTGCTCTTTTGCTTTAGCGCTTTGTTCGTTTATTGCCAAGTAGAACAAATAACGGACAGCTGTAAATCATATGGATGCAGTTGTAGCCAGGGACAAAGATGATGTCATGAATCATTACAAGGTGTGATGGTTTCTGTGGTATTTCTGAACAAAATTAGAGGTGTCTTGTTTACAGCTTGTGGTCTTCTCCCTCCTGTAGAATACTGCATGGGTCCAATAATAATATAAAATAAATACAATAGGCTGATGCTGTTTTGAAGATGTTTTGGCATTATTTCCCCATTTTTATTGCTGTATTATCGTCATTTCCAGTTGTATCTGTCTTTATTTTAGCTGAAATAGTCTTCTGTTAATAACATATGGGAATCGTTATTATTTTCATTTGTTTAGCAGATGCGTGAACCTTTTTTACGCCCTGCGCTTTCTTATACGCGAGCAAATAACGCCAGGTTTTGCAGAACGCAGGTGCTGGGTTCTGTGGGAGCAAGGGCTGCCTCTCAGGGCAGGTACCGAACGAGAGTAAGGGGCTGTTCCCGCATCCCAGTGCGTGTGGCTCCTGCCACCGTGTCCCGCTGTGCGGCCGTCCCAGGTGGGGTTTCTCCAAGACGTGTTCCGGTAGCAACCGGCCTCTGCTAAGCCTTGCTCAGGCAGCTGCCGTGGGTGCAAGTGGTGGCCTATCTCTTGTGTTTCTGAAAATCCTGTCCAGACCTCGCTTTTAGTCTGTGGGTCTTCTTTGCAGCAATCTTCTACTTGACCTTTTGAAGGATGGTCCTGTTTGATTTTAGCACAATCTGGAGCTCTGTCAGGCTGCTTGCCCTGGCTTTCCACACACGCTTTTACTGGCTTTTCCTTCCTTGCATATCGGCCGTTCCACTGTCAGGCTTGCAGGCAGCGGAATTGGACAAGAGGTGTAGCAGAGTGGTAGAGAAGCAAATGCAAAATGACCTAGGAAGATGAGAGCTTCTTCAGTGACAGGCACAAAGGGACAATTGGTACAAATGTCTGAAATGCGTTAGAAGTAGATGCTTGTTTTTCTCTCCTGCCCAGAAAAGCCAGTTCTGAGCTCCTCCCATCTCTAGTCCTTGAATTGCTTACAGGACAATAATATTAATTTTATTTAAACAACTCCTCTTTTCTGTACCAAATGTATCAGGTTGGCCTGTTTAGAAAGGGAGGCAACCACATAAGAATTTCTATTTAAGAGAGATTCTATGTAATCTAATAAAAAGCTTGAGAGCCTTTTATACTTTTCTGTGTTTTCTCAGAAAACAAAGTGTGTTTAGGCTTTGAAAGTGAGCGATTCCATCATGGACTTTTTCTTTTCTGAGTATCATCTGTGAGAGAACAGGTGACCAGCTGAGAGCTGCAGACATGAGCCAGAGTAAAATCTGGCAGGCAGAGCTTCATTAAGCTTTCTGCTTCAACTGTGGCCATATTTACAGCCAAGCAGTCCTCCTTCCAAACAATAGGAGATTTTTAACTTGAACATAAAATGGGCCATTTTTTTTTTCTGGCAGTATCTCTGCATTGAGTGCAGTACCGATTTAAAGTAACTATACAGATTTATGCCAGGTGAGAATCTGCCTTTTTTGACGTCATCTCTAATGCACTTAAAAATGAAGCTTTTAGTTCTTTGGAAATGCTTTTGTTTGTGTTTGTTTGTTTTTAAGTCAATGCAAAGCTCACTTAACTGGGGGTAACTGTTTTGTTGTGTGACTTCCTTTGCAGCTGCCTTGGGTCTCTACTTCCCCCGAAAGGAATACTCGGAGAATGTCTACATTGACCAGGCAGCAGGAACGCCGCTCCTGCACATCCGTGCCTTGAGGGACTCTCATGGGGAAGTGGCCCACTTCCACCTGTGCCAGAATCTCGTCATTTCTCGAGCAAGATCCCATGAAAATCACTGGTTTCAAATCAGAGAAAAAACTGGACTTCTCTACCTCAGTAAGAACCTAGATAGAGAAGACTTCAATATGCTGTGTAAGTATGAGAAGTCTAGCATTTCTTGTTGAAGTATCTCTTGTTAAAGCAAAGTACATTTAGATCATGAGATTTATCCAGCAACTTGTAAGCATCAAATTTCTAAATATCCTATCCAGACCCAACCAAGTTCACTCTGAATGCAGGGATGCACTTTCCAGAGCAAACACAGACCTAGGTCAAGTCTGTAACTTTTACTCTTGGCTCTAATGGAGCAGGAAAGTTGTACTACTTGAAATTAAATTTCCTGTCACCCAGAACTCTAGTGAGTCACAGTTTCACATCAGGTTTTGTCATTTGTTCATTCACTCGTGCTAATTAAACCAATTCCACTGTGGTAACTTTGAGGCCTAGCGGCTAGACCAAGGTAGCTCAATTGGTTCAAACTCTACTCCAGCCCTTGAATTCTGGTAACACAGACTCCCAAAATACCTTTGCCTGTATCACTGAATAGTTCTTGGAAGAAATAGTTAAGCTTATCACTTGTTGTCTCTTGAGATTTGCTTTTTAAAAAATCCTGACTATTGAGCTACAGAAGTGAATTATCTCCATTTTTTGGCTTCTTTGAAGCTCTAACAGTAAATTGGTTTTGGTGATTTTGATCTGTGAGGAAATTAGATATCATTAGATGGTGAAGGAGGAAATGGGTAAGAAGTTAATGACCACTGTGATCTGCTGCTGCAATTTTGCTCTAAGAGAGTCTGTAGTAACTGTGGAGTTTGTAAGGGCCATGTATCAACATTGTCCTTTGGCTTCTGTTCCTGAGGTTCAAGTGTTCAAATTTAAGCCCTTACTGCTTTATTTTAAGTGTTTAAATGCTTGATATCTCACCCATTTTCACTGTGTTTGTTGGTATTTGGTGTTCATTAATCATGAATGTGATAGCTATTTGTAATTGAACACAGGAAGGCCAACACAACTTGGAGTTTTAGTGTTTTTTTGGTTTTTTGTTCCTTTTTTCTTAATATGGATCAAAGTGACCTAGAGCCTTTCCAAGTTAATTAGATCTGTCTCAGAGATACTATCATTCTGTCTGTGGTTGGACTTAGATAATGAAGCCAATTTAGGCTTGAGGATATCTTATTAGATGCTGCAGACTGATCTTAGTTTCTATGTTATCTTTACCCAACTTATTATTCCAAAGTGTTGCAACGGCTTGTCCTATACAGTTTGCTCCCTATATTCAACTGGTATAAATTGTCAGAGTGCTGTGACTTGAAAGGCAGCTAATAGTTGCTGCCAGTCTATCTCAGATGCTGGGATCTTGGTTGCTATTTCACTCACTCCTGTTCTCTCCCTGCCACCTCTTTCTACTCTGGTCCATTCAAAACCAGTTACATGAAAAACCTGCTTGCTAATAGTGACCAGCTTTATGTCAGCGTCGCGCAGACAGCACGTTGGCATTGTTCAGTGGGATTCTACAGCATAAAATTAGGTGGCAACAGCTAAATTGTTTTGACTATTCAGGTTATTAAAGTCAGTAGGTGATATACTCAAAGTTGTTTTGTTATATGATAGAACTATGTGGCAGCTTGTGGAATAAAGGACTAAAGCACAAAGTGTATGAAAAATCTTTGCTTCTCTTCTCTCAAATATGTGTTTTTTTCTTTTTTTCTTCCCCCCCTTTCTGTAGCTGTAGGCAACTGGATGTCATTGTCGAAGGTGATGCTGTATGTCTTCCTTTCATCCCATCCTTTCCAAGAGAAGGAATGTGACTCTGCTACTCGTACCACAGTATACCTCTCCCTGATCAACGCTACTGCCCCTGCATGCAGCTCCCTGACAGCGAGGCAGCTTTGCTTCACAGAAATGGATCTGTCCTTTCACATCAAGGAGAATAAACCACCCGGCACGTTCCATCAACTCCAGATACCCTCCATCCATCATTTGTGTCAGAACGTCAGCGTTTCCTACAAACTACTAGCAGGTAAAGTGGAACTGAACCGCTTGTGTACCAGGAATATTTATGAAAAGCCACATTTTAAAGATCTCTCTTGTAATGGATGCCTTAGATTGATCATATACAAGGAAATCCCATTGCAAGTGTGAGCAGCCCCTGGAGATTTTTTTCCTTTGAGATGTACAGAGAGGATGGGAAGGAGGACTGTCCTTTTCCCTGAGGAAAAAGACTCGTTTTACAAGTTGCACCCGCCAAGAGCAGTTTGAGAGTATCATGAGCTTTAAATTGTGCTTCTTCTAAATTGTAGGATCTGTTCATCAATTCCGTCTGCTTTCTGCCTGCTCTGCTATGGGTCTGCCCCTTTCTTTTGTTCACTCCTGAGTCTGTCTTTTATCATGCAGTCCTGACAGTCTTTTCTAAGATATAATAGCTATTTCCAGTTAGATTTGCTGGATTACGAGAGAATATTAAAGAAGAGTCCTATGATTGGAAGTGATTGCACCTATTTATGCCGTGGCTGTGTTTTTCAGCGGAAGGTCTGCCGTTTCAGTACAACGAGAACACCACCGGGGTGAGCGTGACACGGCGCCTCGATCGAGAAGAGAGAGAGAGATACGAACTGATTGCCAAGTGTACTGTGAGAGAGGGCTTCCGAGAAATGCAGGTCGAGGTGCCCTTCCTGGTGAATGTGTTGGATGAGGATGACTCTCCTCCCTTCCTTCCCAATGGCACCAATACTGCAGATGCTATTGTGGAATACAATAGAAAAGAGGTAAGAGTCTCCTTTATCTAGTCTCTGCAGTAGGAACCACAGCATCACACCTTATTTCGGCATCACGCATACAGAATCACAGGATCGCAGAATGGTTAAGGTTGGAAGGGACCTCTAGAGATCCTCTAGTCCATATGATCATAGCATATTCTTCGAAGCTGTGTTTAGACAGTGCTGAGTCTGCAGAATAAAAAGATTTTTTTTTTCCTTAGATGCGTCATATTTACATCTCAGAGAGTTCCTCAGGTCAGGACAGATCACTGCTCATATCCCAGTGGGGCTCTTTGTATTTCCCAACGCTGAGTTTTGCTCTGAGTTTATTCAGAATTGTTTCCATTAGGTGACAAGAAATTGAGAATGTTATTAGTACAGATGTATGTGTGTATTCGTCCTATATATGAGAATATATTTAAGATATCAGAAATGCATTCAAAACATTTGTTAGGAGACTGCACCAGTAACAGGAAGTTAGGAGAAGAAGGTATCTAAACAGCCTTGTTTTCTGTCTGTGCAAATTTGACTGGAAAATTATGCAGATTTGTTATTAGGGACCTAATAGGAGGAGTCTAAGCAGGCTGAAAATATGAGTGCTGCCTACAGCCTCTCTACTACTGCAGGTACTCACCCATGCTCAGGGAAGCGGTCAGCGAAGCTAGCAAAGCAGTGCTGGAAGAGAAGTCACCTCCACAGACAAGATTTCAATAGGAGTGCGCTCCCTTTTCAGATACCATTGGAAATGATGAATCACACAAAAACCCCTTCATGTTTTGAGGTTTGAGCTGTTAGGGAGATCTTTGGGACCCTGCCTGAAGGTGTGCTCCCCTTTCCCTTCATTCTGCCAAGGTGATCTCTGAGGGCTGAACCCCATGTGCCTTGTAGAAGTCCAGAGTTTGGCTCTGCAGCACAACCCTTCATGAGGCAATGGTGCAGTTAGGGCACATCTTTACGGGCCCGTGTTACACATCTGTCATGAGAGCACTTCTGTCTTGTAACTGCAGGAATTTTTTGCAGTTAGTTTGCTGATACTGTGTTTGGAAAGGTAGATTTGGGGAGTTTGCTGCCACCTGCAGATAAGCCATTGGCAAGACACTCCTGAACACACTGCTTTAGCCAGGGCAGGAAGGAATTCTGTTCTACTGAAAATTTTGAGACTGAGGCATATAATATACCTCTGAATAAGAAGGCAAGGTATCATAAAAGGGACCTATGAATTAACATAATCTACTTTACTTTGATGTGAGATATTTTTGCTTGTGATTGAGATAGAAAAGCTTAAAAAAATTATTTGAATTAGGTAATTTCTCATTGAAATTACGTATCCACAAAATAGTCATAATTCAGTGATTTTCACCGGCATTTTGCCGTGGAAAGAAGCATGATACTGACAAGCTTTCAGGCTTTTCTGACAACTAGAAAAGATTGAAACAGCGACATTAATAATTATACTCGTAAAGGCCTGATAGTTTTGGTGTCCAGCTAGACGAAGCAATCTGTAGAATAAGCAGAAGAGAGATGACCCAGGCCACATCTGTGACTTTTGCCGTGCTGTCTCAGGTAATGAGTTTGACCTGTCTGAATGTGCTTCCTTGTCTTTAAAGCACACACACAGAAGTACACAAACCTACGTTGTCAGTAGCGTTGCTGAATAATACTGATTAAAAAAGGCAGTGCCTGTACACTCATTTCGTACATTCAAAGTTTAGCATGGCATGTGCACACAGACTGACGTGATTATAAGATGGTCTTTGGCGCTGCTGCACTGCTGATTTCCATCTGCTTTTGCACCTTCTAACTTTTGGTCAGCTCTGTGTAAGTAGTTAAGGGTTCTCTGGTGTGGATGTTCATAAGCACGTTCCTGCCTGTCCTATAAACCTGACTGACAGGTCCCCCTTCTTCTAGCTATACAGTATGCAGAGGATATGTCATCTACTTATGTGATTGGGAGCTGTAAAGTGAAGAAGTTGATGCAAAGCAGCAACTAGCACAGTCTGCATTTCCATTGCCTTCTTGGGAATAATCTTCTATTTGCAATAGCGTAAGCAAAATCTCCATCACATTTGGAGTAGATTGCTAGCATATTTTGTCTTTAGTTAAGACTTGTTTTGTTTTAAACAAAAACACTTGTCATTATCTGCACCATGAGACTTTTGTTTGGAAATTCAGAGTACTCTTGTTGCACAAGGTAGGGACAGTCCAGTCTGAGGCTTGTGTGTCATGTCTCACTAATATACCCATCAGACAATCTTCGAATGGGTTTAGGTGGAGACTGCAGTATCTATGAAGTGATACTGGATAAACTGTTTCTACTTAAGCCCTAAAAGTGAATGGCACAACTAACTGTCTTTGTAAAGTACTGCCATGCATATTCTACACATCCAGATGGAGGTGAAATATCCTGAACCGTAAAAAGAATTTGAATTAAAGTGAACCTGAATGAAAGTTGGACGGCTTTATTGATCGATATTTTAATTCCCCCAAACACGTGTCATAGGAAGAAATCTTCAAGGTCATTTAGCGCTGCTGTTTGTCATTTCCTTCCAGGGGACTGTCCTTGCAACGCTCACTGTATATGATGCAGACACCACACCTATTTATCCTCTTGAAAGCAGCAGAAAGAAATACACAGGAACCATCATCACAAATGATCCATGGATCAATGAGACATTCCGGGTGGAGCACATCTTCCATGAAGTCCACTTCAGCCCAAATGGCAGCCAAGTGAGGGGAACTCTACATGAATACAGTAAGGTCTCCTTCTTCAAATAAAGGAAAAATTTTCTGTTAATAATTAACCAATAATCATTTTACAATTACAAGCATAATGCAAATAATGATTAGAAAAAAAACTGAGCAACCTGCAAATAGCAGGACACTGATTTTTAAATATATACAGAAAAAAAATTGAGTTTGTTCATCCCTGAGATGGGGACCATATGGATTGACATTCTGTGCAATAAGGAAGAGGTTTTGACTATAGGTTTTTCAGAACAAAAATTAGAAGGGAAGAACATCTGGCCAGACATCTCAAATGGTACACAGTATAATTTTGGAGAGGTTATATTTTCATATTTTACTATTGCCTTTTATTTCCCTTTAGGGGAAGTCTTTGATATTTATAATTTGGTTGGGAGTGCAGAATAAAAAGATACATTTATAGGTAATGTAGATGTGTGATATAACTGGTTTTTTTTTTTTTTCAGAGCTAGTACTGAATAAAAGTATTTCCGTGACAGAACATCGTTACTTCCAATTGGATGTTTTGGTGAACGACACAGAATTTCCCGGTCCGGAAAGATCGGTGATGCTTCACTTCAATGTTTCTATCCTTCCTGTCAGTATTCAGTTTCCAAACGTGACTTACCAATTCACAGTGAACAGAAATGCTGGACGCTTTGCACAAGTAAGAAGTGTCTTAATTATGCTTTTACTTTTTGTTAGAAACTGGCCTAGTAGACAGTACAGTTGCTGTGGTAAGGTTTGGAAAATCTACCTTCTATTCCTTGGCCAGCAAATTGGTCTTCTGTGAAACTTTGAATTACCTGAGTCTTCTAGAAGTGTTCCTGAGCGTGGCTGCTCCCTCACTGACTTGGCTCCCTACTGGCATTATCATTACTACTATCTTACTCTATAGAAACAAAATTGGAATATTTTCGACAATTAGATGGTTATTTCTTCCTGCTTCTGTGGTGCACCTGAGGTCTTTTCTACGTATTTCTTTGCTGGGCACATAGCTTTCAGGAGCTGTTTCAGAGTTGAGACATGAATCTCTTCTCCAGTATGCATGTGGATAAAACTTTGGATGGAGCTATTTTGAGTAGACTAAATGAAAAAAAAAGATATCAGCATCACCATTTTGCTGGGTGTAGCTACACTGGATTCCAGGTGCACTGGATCCTTCCCTCTGGCCATCAAATTACTACAGAAAGGAGACCTCACAGGGAAGTATTAATAGAGAGAAAAAGAGAAGTGGGATTTAGTCAAAGGAACTTGCAGCCTTTAGCAGCTTAGACATAAATAACTGGAAGAAAAATCAAGAACAGAAAAAGAAATTTGTTCCAGCTATTGAAATCCCAACTCTACACATTCTGGTATGTTTAATGACTTTTCCCTAGATAATGGCTAGCTAGTAATTAATGTGTTTCCTAATTTAACCCTCATTTTAGCTTAATCACCATCATTGCTATTAATAATGCCTTCCAGAAACACTTTCCAACAGGTTGACATTAATCAGGTGAAAATTGCAATGTAATTCCTATGGAACATGTACATTAATAGGAAACTAGTTCAAGGTAATTAATATTATGAGAGTGAATATTAAAAATCAGACACGAGCCATTTTGGGGGAGCTGCTGGAATATATGCCTCGTAACTAAACAGAGCTGTAAGGCTACTGCTATATTTATAGCACAGAGAAAGATTGATATTAAAATTTCATCATCCCAGTTGCAGAGAAGACCAATTCATTATGCATCTTTTAAGGAAAATTTTATTCTATTTATCTATAACTCTATGACTAATTGAGAAAAAGAGAGAAAAAAGAAAGCAATATCTCATGCTCTTGTATTTAATATGATGAAGTGTACTGTAGCCTGATAGCTCTTGAGAGTACTAAACAGGCCCTGCATAACCAAATAAATGTCATTGCTCAACCAAGGGTTATTTTATTCAGTCTACACTGAATAGTCTACACTAAATAGGACAAGGATATCAAGGGTGCTCAAATGGTGGGCTACCCGCAGAAGTCTGTTGTTACCATGCTATTGTGATTCCTTTTTGCAAAACCAGAATTTACTGCTTGCCATTTTTGCATTTTGACAAGTCAGTCAACATTTGAAGAGGAATTTAGGGCTTCTGAAAACACTGCTGCTTTACAATAACTATGTAGTTTCACATGGTGGCAGTAGTAGCAGGGAAAAACTTTCTTACGTGAAGGCAGAGCTCCAAGGCTGTGGGAAGAGATTTCTTTCTGTGCTGCCTAAATGCAAATTCACAGAGAGAGATTGTTCTGATCAACTAGGGCAAACTCATCCTCGCCCTGGAGATGGCTTTTTGGATGAATTAAGGTGTCATCCACTTATTTCTGAGACTCGATTTGAATTTCAGTGCAGTGTGACAGGAGCACAAGTCACTGCAAGCAGCTCATAGCCCAGCACTCCTTGTTATTAAAAGTCTTCTGCGTAATTAGCTATGATGTGTCAGAGCAGTGAGGGCCAAGTCAGTATGAAGGCTGAACTGCATCTTGCCCTCGGGAAGATACAGGAGCGTGAAGAAATGATTAAGTGCTGGGCTGATGCTATTTATCTGTTTGAGCAGTTAAATGAATTGAGTAACAGAAGCATAACCTGATGGCACAGACTTGCCCAGTGGCATTTAACTTATCAAAGGACTTGGAGCCCTCCTGACATTTCCTGAGACAAATACTGAATAACATAGGCTGAGATTTTTAAAGAGGTTTTATATCCGAGTGTCCCTGGAATTCAGTGTTGAGGAACATTGTCGTTATCCAGAGTGTATTAAACTCTGGAGCTGACAAGTCATCTTCTCTTACTGCATCAAAGAAGCCTCGTTTGAGGAGCTGCAGAACGCTGCCCGTCGCAGTGTAGGATCATTAGGGCTCAGGCTGTGCTGGGCAGGTTCTGGAAGGGGCCTCACTCTTCCTGTGTCTAGAGAAGAGTTTATGAGCGGGGCACTCTTCCATTTACTTCTTTTTCTTTCTGCCAGTCGCAGAGTGCTCTGCAGAAGAGGCAGCCCTGAAGCTCCACACCAGAGCTGGCCTCGCTTCTGAGGGCGTTGCTTGTCTCTGTGCGTTACCCTGGCACGGGAAAGAGTACATGGTGCCAAGCGAAGAGCCAGTGATGTGAATGGGAGTAGGTTAGGTGAAGTGGCCCTGCCCTGAGACAGTGGATGCTTCCAGAGCAAGCTCTTCCCTGACTTTAAATAGTCCAAGTTCATAGGAAGAGGACTTAGTACAGAAGAGATGTATTTATTTTTTATTTTTTATTTTTTATTTTTTATTTTTTTAACAATCCTTAATAAAAATGCTAAGACTGAGTTGTACAGATATGCTTTTACCAGCAGGATTGTTATTGAAAATATGTCTTAACTGTAGCATTTGAAAAGAATCCACCACCAAATCCGCTTAAATAACACCCCAGCCTTCCCATTGCTATTTTCCCTATAAAGGAAAGTGGTCGATGCCTCTGGATCTGATCTGAATCCCACTCTAGCAAATGGAAAAAACAAAGTGAACTTTGGATGAGTTTGTATAGAAACTGGACAGGGATCAGGGCTTTGCATTCCTGTGCTGCTTAGATAAATGTTTTCAGACTGGAGAGTGCTTGAGCATAGATATTGTGGTAGGCAGATTTACTATTTATATATGGTAAATCCATTTATTATTTTCAGTTTTGGATGAAAATGTTTAAAAAGCTATGTCAGTAGGAGTCAATGAGGTTCGAATTTTTTGAGGCTCTCTGAGAACTCTGTTGACCAGAAACATTTGACTGTAATATTATGGGACGTAGGTATTGTATTTTGTTCACAGTGAACTGTTTGCTTTGTCAACAGAGCTTTTCTCATGGGTCAGAGCATGGTCCCTGGGACAGAGCAGGGACTTAACCCAGATTTTCCCAAATTGTAGAGGTGTGTTCCCACTGAGTGGGAACTGTCAGTTGCAGGCACCTGAATATGACTGTGTCTCTAGGTCGTGACTTTTAGTGTCCTTACTGTTACTTGAGCACAGTGCTACTCCTCTGCCTCTCTTACTGAGAATAATCACATTTGAAATATCCAGGTACTGTGTTAGTGGTAAAATACCGTATCATGTGATGTCTGCAAGCTGAACATAGTTCACCTTTCTTTAAGATACTTTTGAGAAGCACAGAGTATTTTTGATGCATAGTTTTGTTTCTGTTGTTCGTGATTTCTTTGTTGGTGTTTGAGCCTAGATAGGAAAAATCTGCATTGAAAACTGTATGAAATTCTATGGGGTGAACATCACCTACAAGCTCCTGTCCCCCAATGTGAGCTGCTATGCAGTGGGCATACTTCAAGGCCGAGAAGACAAATATGGAAGCCTTTATGTGAATGATTCCTCTGTGCTACACAGACCTGAATGCAAGGAAATACAATACACTGTTCAAGCTACGGACAGGCAGAGCAGGAAACACGCCAAGACCCTTCTCACCATTGTCTTGGAAGGCTCTCGTAAGTACCTGAGTACTTGGAACAATTTGCTTCCTTACATGGCTTTTGCCAGTGTTAGGTGGTGCGTTCGTAGAGTCAACTATTAACTTGATGACATGAGCAATGGAAATGAGCCTGAGCTCATTTGGGTCTGGATATAGAGCCAAAGGTTTCTGTATCTAAAGTTTTAAGTCAAACTTTTCTGTAGTAGATTTTTGAGTAACTAATATATGTAAAAGTGATATATCTTGTACAATTCCTAATGTTCATGACGACATTTACTGTGTAAGGATATTGTTATATGTTATTTGTTTTGTATTTCACATATTCACACAGAAGAATATATATAAAACCACAATTCCTCTGCCTAAAAATACTTATTCAGCCGTCTCTTTTCATCACTTTTTCCTCCACATTGTCAGTTTTGAAAATTTTTTGCAAGATTCTTGTAGCCTTTACAGTGTCTTACTGAAAAGTTGGTAAGGGCCTAGAGTGAGAAGTTCTGTAAGAACCATGACAGAGGATTGCACTAGAGACTTGTCATCCTTTCTTTCCAATCAATCTGCACTTACTGCAGATGCTTAAAATTCTACCTGGCAATAGCTCCGGGTCCCCTGTATCACCCCATGGCTCTGTTGCCAAGTGGGAATGGGCTCAGGAAGAAGAAACAAAGTCTGCAATGGACTTTCCTTTTTGTGAGAGCTGAAGTCGGACATAATTACCTTTTGGCTACTAGTGTATTAGCCCAGGCGCTAAATGTTTGCCTATAGCTACAAGGTTTTGTACAAAACCATAAATATCCAGCATCTCTGTTTTTCAGTTCTTAAACTGTTAGTGCATTCTTACAGATCCAGATATTTTCAGCCTGCTATCAAGTAAAGATGAAAATGCCATCATCATCATACTGTTTATCTGTTACTTCGCGGAAGAAAAACGTCTGGTCTTTCCTTTAGTTGTTATCTAAGCTTATTGATAGTTGGGTCAGTGTGTACTCTTCTCTTCCTATCTCCTCCCAAGGGAGAATTTTGTCCTTCTGCCTTGTACTGACTTGCCTGTGTGTTCCCCACCCCGTACCCTTCTGACAGTGTGCTCTCTTCCCCATAGTTCTTAAAAACAAAGAGGGCTGTCTTGACTCTTGTGCTGTAAGCAAGAACCGTGCTGAATGTGAGGAGTGTGGTGGCCTGGGAGTGTTGACAGGAAGATGCCAGTGGAGACAGGGGAGTGGAAAAGGTATGTTCTAGTTGTGTGAAACCAAACTTCTGTTTATCATTATCATGCTTTCGATTTTGGATAAGCACCTATTTATTCTAGCTGGACAATGTGGTATTATAAACTACAGAGAAGCTGTGGTTAAAAAATATAGTAATAATGCCCAAATGAAGCCTTCACTAGGAAGAAGAAAGGTTAAGAGGGAACAATTGTTCTTAATTTTTTTCCCTGGTTGTGTTAAATACAATATATAAAATACAGGATGCTATTTTCCTGTTTCTGGGTTTGCACCATTGTAACCAGAGCAAGTGGCTTATTGCGTGTGAGATAATCTGCAAACATGAGTGGAGTTTGGAGCATACCAGTAAGCCTGTGAGCAGATACGACTGGAGAAATGCAGCTAGCCCAGAAGCAGCCTCTGTGTGTTCTGCAGCCTGCAGTACAGATCTGACAGGCCATGGTGCTCTCGACTGTTCCGGAGAAATGCTCTGTGTTCATGTTTTATGCCTTCAAACTGCATATATATCACAAATTCTTTTCTACTACCTGTAACATCCATATTCAAACATGTGTGAAATTGTGTTGAGATACCCTGGGTTGGGAAAGCCACCCTTCACTCTAAAAATGGTCTGCTAACTGTTTTCAGGTACTGTTCATTGTAACTCCAAGTGAAGTGCCCAAAAGGGCTGTCAAATGCACAAAGCAGAAATCACAGTGCAAGATACATTCATCTACATTCTGCCACATTCTTCCCAGTTTCTTTTAGCTATTGCTTTGCCTGCTGTTTTAGCAGATGGTAAAGTATTCATGGATAAAATCCATAGATGTTTATTTAAAGAATGACCTATGCGTTGGTATATCAGCAAGCACGGAGAATTCACTAAGCCTGCCTTCAAAGCCTTGTGATGTTTGTACCGCTGTCTGTTTCTGTGTTAACAGGAATCACTACAAACTATTCCACGTGCACACCGAGCATCAAGACTTGTCCGGACGGCACCTGTGATGTGGTTGAGAGCAGAGATCTAGCAGTGTGTCCCCAGGACTGCACAAGTACGGAAATGTTTTAGGGCTGTTTTTTTTCTATGTCCCTGCTGATCACTGTTCACCAAGTTGTACTTTCATGATATTGTATATTTTTACCAGCTCAGCATTTGCATACCTTTATTTAAATTATGAGAAGAGAGTTAAGGTTACAGGAACTAAGCTTGGCCTTTCTGAAGCCAGTCGACCACCACCTGTTGGCTGATACTCAATAACAGAAAAAATGAGATTTTTCTCAGTAATTTTCTTCCAGCTCCACCTGTTAATTTTCAGCTACTGTTGTTCTACTGTGTTCTAAATTACTTTTATCACAAAGAAATATTTCATTAGAGGGCATAAAGCACAATCTTTGAAGTGACAGAAATGCTTGAAGTGAATGCAGGAAATTTCTGTAATAATCAGAGAAGAATTTGTCATTTGCAATAACTGGAATCTGATGTCATTCCACAAGTGGAAATCTGCGCACCAGAGGCTGCAGGACTGTAATGTATAATGCTCAACATGGAGCATCAGATGTTTTACTTGACAGAAGCCTGAAAGATAGTAGATTAGATAATCTATTCTTTTAGATAATAAAAGCAGACATGTAAGATGAGCTTTCAAGATATTATGTATGGCTTGCTAGTATCTGAGCTGGATAATTTTATAAATGATATTCAAGCAATTCATAACCTGGGCTGGTGCTCATAGCCAGTATATTTACAGATGGAGAAATGAGCACCTCTTGGGACTTATTATAGTCCCTATTAGCAGGACTGCTATTGCATCAACTTTTACTGTCAGAGGACATTTCGTTGGAAAAGGCAGGCAATAATTAGCAAAGCCCCAGATAACTTAAAATCAAGGATGCTCTTTAAATTTAGACAAAATACTTGCTAAAATACTCCGCTAAAATACTTGTAATTCATTTATCATTATCATAGCTATCTATTTCAGCCCCCAAATTGCTTTCTCCCACTAAAGCTATGAATATTGCATTCAGAGGCACTCAGCTGAAGCAAGTGTTGCTGTGGCTATGGCGATTACACGGAGGCAACCTGGCTGCTTCTGAGCAAGAGCCATTCTTGCAGTGACGGCCTCAGGGCTGCTCACACTGTGCGAGTCCAGCCAAAGGTTTCTTAAGGACCACTCTGTGTAGGCTCATCTGAACTTTGGCTTTCAGATAACAGAAAGAAAACAGTCTCTAGGACTCTACCTTGCTTTGCATGCCTCTGTCTTCATCAGTAATCAGTCCTATTCTCTGTGGTTTTGCCTAAAAATTGGTATTTCTACCATTTGAGTTTCTGGAGTTTCTACACAGTGTGGAGTAGGGCTGCTGTTGTTTTTTTCTAGAAGACCCTAAGGCAGGGAAAGCTCCAGGTCCTCAAATATAAATAGATAGGTAGGTAGAGATAACTTGAGATAACTTTATTATTATTATTATTGTTATTATTATTATTATTTCCCTGAGGCTAAAGGATGCTCTTTTTCATTGCCTTCACAGAAGAGAGAAAGTTGGTCAGTAACCAGCTGAGCTGCAGACAGCTTAGTAGGTGTGGTCTCTCTGGAAAAATGGTCACCATGTATTTTGTTTGGATACTCAAGTCTCTACTTTGCTTTCTTTGGAAAAAAAAAAAAAAAAAGATATTTTCCTGCATGTTGTTAAAAATATCCTTGCCTCAATTTTTGTTGCATATCAAAAAAAAAAAAAAAAAAGTAAAAGAAACAGTTGTTCACTCTGCTACAAAATTAGGTAGGATGGAAGAAAAGGAGCTGAATTGAAAAGACTGTTGAAAATACTCTGTTCATCATTTAAATCCCTTTAGGGTTTAGAGAATCTTTCTGAAGCACAGATAAATTTGCAGGTTGTGGTTGGTTTGTTCACAGCTTCTGTCTGTGAAATGTTGTTCATGATTAAAGATACTTTACAGAAAGCAATTCAAACCAATAGTCCTTTCTATGCTATATGCAGAAAAAAATATTTTCTTAATTAGACAGTATGGGCTCAACCTTGCCATCACTCTGCATGACCAACTGTTTTGAAACCTAGCCTAGTTCTATGTAAGCTGCTATACTTTCTCCCTGATACTAGGTAATGCATCATTTTCTTTTTTCCCTACTTGCACTTGGTCCTTACTCTGAGCACTTTCGTGAGACTGTCCCCAGCATTTTGCAGAAGTGACTGGGTGTCACTGTCACCGCTTGACTGCAGAGCGGGTGCTGTGTAGAGCAGTAAAGTTACCTGCTTGGCATTAGAGGAAATAGGTGTCTGAACCAGGGACAAAGCTCACATTTGTAGACTGATGGGTTACTGCTCTATATCACTGAAACATGCAAAATCTCATATGCATAACAAATACTTCTAAATATTTCTAAAAAATAATAGAAGATGATTGGGGGAATATTTTAAAATGTAAGACCGCCTTGCCAGAGGGTTTATATGTAATGTTATAAACAGCACCTGAAATAAAAAAAATTATTTAAGCTATACAAAGAAAATTATTACTTTTTTAATATTAGCTACCTCTTTCATAATAACTGTTATGGCTAATGTTCAGGCAGCCCAAGGTCCCCTCATTTCAGAATCAGAAGTGTTTGAATTGAGGATCCCTCTAATTCTCAGGAGTCGTCGTTGTTGCTGCGCTTTGTTGCCCTGTTAAATTTCACCCTGTTGCATTTCAGCTACATGCTAGAAGAGAGCACACAGATTGCTGCAAGCCTTTCTTTTGCTTTAGTTGCTTGTGAGAATCTGAGCTTGTGTCTGTATTTGATTAGGTGGAAACATCATTGGCGGTCATGGGAAAGGCATTGGAAATCTTGGAATTAAGTCAGGACATGGGATCTGCTACTGCTACCCAAGACGGAACTGTTATTGTGAGAAAGGTGATATCAAGGGTAAGTCTCAACATTATCTTTTGTTGTATCATTAATCCTTCATTCTTTTTGTATCTGCCCTGTATGCACATTCAGCAGAGTAAACTCATGGACAGGTTAATAAGCGATATCTTGGTCACAGGCTGCTAATAAAAAATTCATTAAAACTGACACCTTGATTTTACCATGGAAATTAAAAACGCCCAGGGGTTTTGCTTCTGTTCTTGACTAAAGATGCTCTTTTATCCCTTGCTACGTAACAAACAGCTTGGCTGTCCTTTGCTTTCCAGCTGTATTTGCATTTCAGTGGGGCTCACCTGATATTTTTAAAAGATAGCTAGAGGAATAAGAACAACTTTCTGTGACTTTAAAGTAACCCAGCCTCCTAATCATTTCTGAAAATCTTAGGTCACAATTGTCAGAGGTAGCCAGTGCCTACTATGTTAGGGGGAAAAGTGCATTACTTTATTCCTTGGCCTTTACTCAAAGCATAAAAACTTCTATGCATTTCTTTGAAACACATGGTCTGGAGGTTAAAATGTTTTAAATTTGTTTTTGCTGTTTAACAATAAACTTAATATATGAAGTATTTTGCATCTCTAAAACTGAATTATTATTTTTTTTTAAAAAATGTACATCACTTTAGAAGTGATTATAGCATTAGGCAATATTTTCAGAAGACAGTATTTTGTTAAACACAAAGCAGAAATATTCTGAATCTTTCTTTTGCATATAAAAAGATGAAGAAAACCGTTTTTGATGACTATCATAATAAAAATTCACCCTGGAGTAGATTTTAGTTGCTAGGCTGATTGGTTCTAACATAAACTGTTACCCATGTGCAAAGTCTTGGACGTAGGTCTTCAGAGATGCATGGGGTATCAGAACACCGGCAGGCTGAGTTTTAAAAGAGAGTCTCAGAAGCAGATCGCGCTTGTAAAACTAAGGAATATTGGGTCAAGTTAACTAGCTGTCATTACACTTGAACTACAGATAACAAACTGCCTGGTGCCTGAAATGGAGACTGCGGTGGGCATAGACCGGTCCTACTTTGAGAATTAGATGCTGGGGTTTGCTGTAGCCTTTGAAATAATTTTGTATTCTGTTCCTGCTCCAGCTGCGTGTGTTGTGTGAACTGCCAGCAGAAGTGGGCAACAACCAATAAAGGTCTAATGAGCTGTTCTTGGTCTGCAGAGCAATTATGTGATGACGTGTGCAAGACTGTGATAGCGGGGGCTGTGCTGCTGTCCTTCATTATCTCCGTGCTGCTTTCCTCTTATTTCATCCATCGTTACCACAAGAATTCTCCAAAGCCGCCTATTGCCTCAGCAGAGATGACTTTCCGGCGCCCAGCCCAGTCTTATCCCATCAGTTATTCCTCTACTAATGTCCGTCGGCCTTCTTTAGATTCCATGGAGAACCAGGTGTCTGTAGATACCTTTAAAATACCAGTAAGTTTGCTGTTCTGTTGTGTGCTCTTTTTGGATGCTTTTCTTGTTTCTGAAGAAGGTTGTTTATTGTACACAGAAAATGTTATGGAAATCTATTCATAGAAATATCCAACTCAAATACTGAAACAGAAATGACACATACAAGGAGGACCTTGTGCTCCGTTTGCTTTATTGTTTTTCTTGGTTTGTACATCTGTCACTGCTCTGCAGCTGTATGTCTCAATAACACAAGAGCATTTTTCTCAGAAGAACTCTTAAGGGAAAGTCTAATTTCACAGGTAAAACTGATACGACTGCCTGTGAAGTCCAAGGCTGCATATTCGTAGTTATCTGAAAGAAAGCATTTATCCTGTATCACTTAATGTTTCATTGGAACCTGTTTCCCAGACCTGTAAATATCATCCGTTACCCACAGGCTACATTTGCAGGCCTGTTCTTTGAGGATGTGATTTCAAGGTAATGGAAAAACATTTGCAAAATGCCAAGGGATTTTTATACGAATACATGGATATTGATAAAAAGAGCAACCCAAAATGTTATTCCAAGGTGCCTGTTCTTGAAGGATGGCTTCCCATTAAACATTAATGACCACTTCTGTCTGACTTCACCTTATGGTACTCCTTTTCTGTCCTGCAGGAAGACCCGAAGTGGGAATTCCCTCGGAAGAACCTGGTTTTGGGCAAGACTCTAGGGGAAGGAGAGTTTGGAAAGGTTGTTAAGGCAACAGCGTTTAGACTCAAGGGAAGAGCCGGCTACACCACCGTGGCAGTGAAAATGCTAAAAGGTATTTTTCTATATAAGTCTGAAATGATTTGGAATCTGTTTGGAATGTCCTCTGAATGGATTTTAAAAGGGGCTATGATGAAGGTAAAAGCTGGGCTGAAGCCGGCCAGTGATGCAGCCTCCATTTCTTCCAGCATTCTGCTTAGATTCTCCCAGATTTCTGAGTGTAGGAGCTGGCATCCCATTCGTACAAACAAGCAGTTTGCATAAGTAACTCTAGCTCATGTTCTGCAAGGACACTGTCTCTTAATGTAGCAAATGCATTTAATTTTGTTTGGCATTGATGGAAACACTGCAAGGGCTTGTTAGAGTTTTCTGATTTTTTTTTTCCTCTACCTCAGTTTTGTGACATGACTTTTTAAGTAAATCCCATTATATTCATGTCCAGAGACAGAATATAACTGCAGAGGCAGAACTATTAAGTTATTCACTTACTTTCCTGATTGTGAAATCCAGTTCCTTTGTACTCCCTGATCTGTTATTCAATTACTAGGAACTCTGCCAAAGTGGCTTGAATAGCCCAGTACTGTTTCCTGCTGTCTTAGTTTGTCCTTAGACTGTAAATCTGAGGGAAAAGAAAAGGTATAGCTAGACGGGTTGAGATGACAGTGTGAGACCTTGTGGTCTTGTCCTGTCCCTGTTCAGTATTTCTTTCTTTTTTTTTTTTTTTTTTTAGCCTCACATATGTCTGCTTCTTTCCCATCCTGAAAAATATATTGAAGGAAAAAGATGAAAAAAATATTTGTTTAT